CACTCAGTGGTTTACAGGCTCTACATTAACCAGCAGCCGTTCTGTGCACGCTGCTCTAAATATGTCCATTTAGCAATCAAAACTATTCTGCAGAGTAATAACACAATGTGTGTGAGGTCACTGGATCTCCCCAAACCAGTTTAGCATCCAGGCCGACTACTGGATCATGCAGGCGGCCTGTGGCCCCTCCCTCCCTCACTGGCTCGCTCTGAGCCTAGCCATGGGGTTTCTTCAGAGAGCCGCCAAAGGAATCTCACCAGTCAAGTTATGTAGTCAGTCTGAGGAGAGGTGGAGACGGAAAAGCACACCACTGGGGTTTAAGAGTTTAACCCCCTCTCAGATGGGCTCTTCATTGAACACCCTTTAGGGATGGAGACCTGCTTCCTCCCTTCCCAAAGTCTCTACTCTCTGGTTCCTGATTACTTCTGAATAAGACTCAAGAATAACAAGAAGAAAATCCCTGTAGTGAGGCACAGCTCACTAAAACCACATAGCAGGGCAACAAAACAGATAAGGAGTCAAATAAATTCAGTAACTGGAAAAAACGGTGATTCAAGCCTCCCTTGCTCTGATCAACGTCCAACCAGGACGTCCCTAATTGGGGCCGCAATATAGGTTAGGGATTAGCTGCATTTATCTAGTTACATAAAGGCAGAAACTGGACACGATATATGGAAACAAACAACCTAACATTTAGGCACGTTATCTTATTCATTAAAGTAAATAATGGCTCCTCACACCACCTGAGTGATACTGGATGGATGGACAGGGGAGGAAGTAGGATTCCTCTGTGGTCGAGGAAATAAAACCTGCTGCAGGGTTACATCATGGTTAAAGCAGGCAGAAACTGTCGGATCAGATTCCTCAACTTCAGCTTTTAGATGAAACAGAAATCAGAGGACTCATCCAGCTTTATGCACTCTATACGTTTAGATTGCCTTCCAGTCAATGAGTCGATGCAATCAACTGGTTTTCCTTTAAGTAGAAAACTTTGAATCAATCTGACTGGATGATCTGGTGAATTGTAAAGTGCCTTTAGATGACATGTGTTGTGAATTGGTGCTATAGAAATAAACTGAACCTTACAGGAAGAGAGCAGTAAAACCAGAACCAGGGATCACAAAGTCATTACATTTGGTTCAATGACTGGCTGCAGACCCATAAAGTTCATAAATAAAAAATAAGACAGCTGAACTTTAATGTTAGTAACAATCACTGTGAAGCCAAAAATGACGAGTTTTGATTGTTAGTTTGAACAATAATTTGGGCATAGTGGTATCAGACTGCTGTAACCTGACATCTGTCATCTGATACAACAACTTGCTATTTCAACACACTGTTCTGGTTTAGTTGGTAAACAACCTCCCTGGACTACATCCACCATTTTCTACTGTTTACCAGAATGAATAAAACATCTCCAGGCAGGCAGACAGGTGAAAAATGTTACATAAAGTTTAGTCAGGCTGGGACAGGTTGGATAGCCGCTCCCAGACCTAGGAACAGCTTACCTGGAGATAGCTAGCCGGAGTTAGCTTCAGGTACTCACCGGGGTTCTAGCAGCAGCTCTGGGTCGGCCCAACAACATGAATGAAGGTCCAGGTATGGAAGTTCCTCGAAAAAGTTTGACCAAAACCTCCCAGAGGACAACAGCTCATGTAGGGATGGTAGGAAGTAGCAGCGGTGAAGCTAGAGAGGCTAGCGTTAGCCTGCTAGTGGCGCGCGAGCCCCGCGGCTAGCCGCAGTTGGACGTTGGCTCGGAGCTGTTTACCCCGAACCTGTCAGTGTCAGCCCGGTCCGGTTACAGCCTCGCTCCGAACACAGCCTGTCTACCAGCAGCAGCTCTGCGGCTGTTTATTAAAGCAGCGAAACGCTAAATGGAGCGAGTTTCAGGGCCTCTGTTAACCACAGCGGAGCTTCCCTTCACTGCTGACCTACAGGCAGAGCCATCCTGTCCGCTGCTGCCTGTTTATCGCTGCCTGCTCTCCAACCCGGAAATGGGCTGAACTGCAAAATGGAGGATTTTCTGCCCCGCTGAACACCGAGCGATAAATGAGCTGATTTCACCCAGAGATAGACACTGGAATAGCCTGTTAGAGGGTTTTAGTTAAATAGATGATTTAATCTGACAAACCCGTTAATACCAATAAACCCCAAACAGAACATCTGGAATGAGCAACATTACTCTATACTGAGATATTACAAAGATATATTTCCCACTAAATATAAGAAAACATTCTAATGGTACCTTTTTTATAAAATCAAATTATAATATTACTTAATTTACTGTAGCTAATTGATAGAAATGTAATGGATAAAAACAGCTTTGTTAAAAATCATCCCTCTGTCATCCATCCATCCATCCACTCACCATCCATCCATCCATCCATCCATCGTGCTGTTTATCTTTAGGGTCCCTGCTGTCTGCAGCAGTTCTGGTAAAGTGCAGAGAGGATCCAGGACAGGTCAGCAGTCCATCTCAAAGCAACACAGACAAACAACTAGGATCATAAATGACCATTCACTCGAACTCCTGAGCTAGAAATACTTATTGGCAAATAACGACATGCAGATTAAAGGTTAGGGTTGCTGCTTCAGGTGTGTTCATACATGAAAAAACCCCATCTGTTTATTGGTGCTGCTTGAAATGAAATATTGAAAAATGTAACATTTCTCTGGGATATGTGTCAAAGGTTTTAATGGAAAACACATTTTAATGGAAAAAACATATGAAATATGGGCAGTAGTGCAAATTATAGAATTTAAGTTTGTCGTTCTAACTGCTGTGCTGTTTGGTGGATATTCTTTTGATTCTGCAGCACTGTAGAGGCTCCAGAGTTTGGGGACGGGGTGGGAGAGTTAAGGCTGAGACCTGAATGTGTCCAAAGATGGACCACAGCACCACAGGATGAGATTCCAGCTTCCTTCTGCTACATGCTGATATTCACCTGCAGGACACTAAAAAGATGTGTGTCAGTGTATGAGTGAGGCTGCTTGGATGAGGTTTTAAAGCCTGCTTAAGGTCAGAGTGGTTCTGTATGAATTCAGACCTTTTAGATCATAAGAGTGGGCCGGTTTGTTTTAAATCCTGCTTTAAATCAAACAGCATCTCTATAAAACTTGTCAGCAGAAAGATGCAGGAAGAGCTCTAACATGTTCTGGTGGATGGATGGTGATGGTGACTCTGGAGTTCAAAAAGCAAAGTGGGACCTATAGATAATAGATCATTTGGAGAATAAACAGGTTTGCTCAAAACAATATAAGTCATGAAAAAAAGACATGAGAATGTGTCCGTCATCTTCTGCGTGTGAGTAGAAAGTAGTCATCTAAAAATTACTCAATTAGGAGAATAAAGGTCTAAATAAAGGTAAAGGAAAAACGGCTACTCAACATCAAATTAAGTGTTTATTTCATATTACCCAACAGAAAATTATCTGCAACTTCTGCATTTTAAAAGTATGAAATAAATTAACAAAATGAAAATCAATAACATGAGTTATTGATTCAATAACACAAAAAGGTAATGCATGTTGGGAGGAAAAATAACTTTTATCTAGAATATGTACTGTATTTTTTTTTTAATTCCCCTGATCTCAAAAGCTCCAATTAACTGTCATTGGCAGAATAAAAACACATTTTCCTGAAGTAGGAGCAGCAATACTCTCACAGCAATATCACCTATGTAAAACTAAAAAGTACAATAAAGTAAAACTACGCTAAATGTGTTTTTCTCAAAAAGTTAATTAAATAATGTAACAGAGAGTGAGGTTCAAGACAGGGGCAAACAGGGGCCCGTAATACTGATCCGGGCCCCTGTACTGAATACATGACTAAAGATGATATGCACTGATAGCTCAGTTGGACGCATTTCACTTTTTTCCTTACAATTCCGTTTTTATTGTGATTTAAAAATTAAGGTGATATCTTCAGTCAGATTGAGATAAGGTGAGTGGGATCCTAGTGATTAGTGTGGAATCCTGAGGTTCTGAGTTGGAGCCCTACTCCCACAGACTGCCACTCTGGGACTCTGAGCAAAGACCCTTAACCCCACACTGCTCCCCGGGTGCCGCAACCCTAACCCCAAGGGAAAGGGTTAAATGCAGAGTGAATTTTGTTGCTCTGCACTTGTGACAGTGTATTGACAATAAAAAGCTGTAAAAAACAATGATAGAATCAGTTTCCATCAGCTAAAAGTTATTTAGCAGATTTATCTTTTTCAGTTTTACTTAGGTTCTAATTTGTTCTTAAGTTCTAATCTGATTTGATTAAAACTGTCCATTTACATTTAAAATAATAATTAAAATATAATATTTCTGAATTATGAATTTACATTGGCCTATTGTTACAAAGAATATATCATTTATGAGTTATGTATATGTTAAAGTATAAACTATTTCCCTGTTTTTGTGCTTTTCGACGTGATTTAATTTTTTTGGATTCAAATCCAGTAAAATATTGGTGTAACTTTTGACCCTGACAGAAAATAAAGAGTAAAGAAATTGAAAAATGGCAAAAGAGGTGGAATAAAGATCAGAAAGGAAGAGGATTATATAATGTACAATAATCAGTATAAAATAGAATCATTAATGAGAGAAACAGAAGGGAAGATCAGATTAGGAGAGAGTCATACCTATTTAAATGACAATTTATATTTAATAGGGAGGGAAAATAATGGTAAATGTGAAGGATGTGGAGAAAAAGAAAATGTAGAACACGTACTGATGAACTGTTAAACTTATGAACATGAAAGGGAGAAATGAAGAAGGATTATTGGAAGGACAGGATATAAAGGATATTCACAGATTAATGAAAGCTTTATTTATTTATCTACAGAATACAAAATAAAAATTAAAAAAAAGGATTTGATATAAAGTAATGTTGCTACACACTCATGTACAGTAGGTGGCGATGTGCACCTTGGTTGCGATCCGCCATAATAGAAAAGAAGAAGAAGAAGGAGCAGGTTTGTTTGTGCTGGACCGCGCATGCGCAGTGAGTGCAGGTTTACTTCCTGTCAAGATGGCGGCGAGCAGAGGCCTGGCTGCCCTGTGGAGGACATGCAGCGGTAGGTCTCAGCTGTTCCCCGGCCTGCCCGTCTGCGCCGCCCGCACACAGAGCTCTGTGAGCGGCCACCTGCTGCCCCGGACCTCCCTCTCCAGGCCTCCGTGGTCGGAGCAAAGCTGCGCGGTTTCAGCGGAGGAGGAGCGGAGCAGACACGCCGCCGTGGTGAGCGCCGTCAACCAGCGGATCCAGAAGCAGGACTTCGGCAGGCTGTTTGCTGTGGTTCACCTGGCCGGCCGCCAGTGGAAGGTGACCAACGAGGACCTGATCCTGATCGAGAACCACATCGAGGCGGACTGCGGGGAGCGGATCATCCTGGAGAAGGTGCTGCTGGTCGGGGCGGAGGACTTCTCGCTGGTCGGCAGGCCTCTCCTGGGGAAGGAGCTGGTGAGGGTCAGAGCCACGGTGATCGAGAAGACCCAATCCTGGCCCAAAGTGCACATGGTGTTCTGGAAACGGCACCGCTTCCAGCGGAAGAGGATCATCGTTCAGCCGCAGACGGTGCTGAGGATCAACAGCATCGAGCTGAACCCCCAGCTGTCCTGATCCACTGACTCTGAACCTGCAGCTCCTCCGGGTTCCTCCCAGGAACCAGCTGAGATGATGGAGCTGCTGATCATCTGATCCATTAAAGTTTCCCTTTGCAATCAGGAATCTGCTCCTTTCTAAGGTCAAACTAACATCAGCACCATGATTAGGAGCTGGAACCTGAATGATCATTAAAATAAAAAAAAACTTTGTTAACCTCACTTTGGAGAAATGTACCTCTGTAATTAACCCATCCCATTAGGGAGCAGTGGGCTGCCACTGTGGGGCTTCCGGGGAGCAGTTTGGGGTGAAGAGTAGTGTTGCACTGATGCCATTTTTGGCCCCGATACCATCTGTTTAAAATTGATGTGTGTAAATATGAAGAACTGCAGACTACTTGGATATAAATAAATGCCATCTTGGTTTTGTCAAGCTACTGCCTACCTTTGTGAAGCAGGACAAATACAAAGTTAATCCAGTAGAACTTTCTATTGCCTACCTGGAATGGGTGACAATAGTTGACTAAACTTTTGGCTCTAAAAATGGTATCAGTGCCCTATTTGTTGGATACCACCGTTTTAGAGCTGGATCGGTGCAACACTAGTTAAGGGTCTTGCTCAGGGACCCAGAGTGGCAGTGGGTTTTAAACTCTCAGCCTCAGGATTCCAAGCTCTACACCCTAACCAGGCCATAGTGATGTTTATGAGGCATCTTGAAGCCAAACTACTGATACTGTCTGATAGAATACTGACACCTGCTGGACATTTAAATGCACTACAGGCAGCTGATTGGACTAAACTGAATTAAATTCATAACCTAGAACAATGATATGGTTTAAATTATTGTAGGTCACATTGTTATTTCATATCTATGTTTAAATAGAATAAATATCTTTATTTTTAGATGCAGCCAATAAATAATGTAAACATATAATGTGAAAATTTAGGGGGAAATGTGAATGAAGATGCTGGTGGACGAGGATTTTAGGTCATAATTTAAAAAGGGTAAATAAAATGAGTCAATTTAAAATGATCTAATTCAGAAAAGTTTAGTGATAGGAAAAGCAATAAAAATGATTAACATTAAAACAACTGAAACGTTCCTATTCTTTTTAGGCTGCTGCAAAATTGTTGATTGTTTTAATGATAAACTGCAAGAGATTACATTTTTTTTAGCAGATGCATCATGTTGACAGGTTTTTAAACGGCATTTAGTGAGTCAGTTAGTTAGAAACACCTCCTGTATCGGTCACATGACTGTCTGGAAATGACACACGCACCGATGCAGAGTTTTGCTCTATGGACTCTACACATGCACCCATGCATCAGGGTTAATGGACCCATCACTAGTCTGGGGTTAAGAGTTTTACTCAGGAACCCAGAGTGGCAGCCTGTGGGGATTAAACAGAGTACTTGCAACCTTTTCAGAGAACAATCGCACTGCTCTAACCCACTACGCCATAACTCCACCTTTTTTATATGTATATTATTGGCCTCTTTTTAACTATTCAATTATACTTTATGATTTCCACCAAAATATAAAAAAAAGAAAATTCAAGCATTTTACATCTTTAACTCTAAGACAGCAGATCAGGTGAAAAACATCCTTTATTGAAGAGAAAATTAAACTGAAAACTAAAGTCCTGAAAAAATATTTCTATACAAAACATTCAAAGACAAAAGATGTGAAACAGCTTTTATTTTGAAAGCAGCTAGCTGAGCCTTCTAGAAAAAGATCCACAGCATTGAAGACTCATTTTAAGGCACTGTTGAACTTTTCTGCTCAGTGGCGACACGTTTGACTGGAGGAGAAATAAAAGCGGTTTGTCCAACAGGTAAAAAAACGATGGATTAAAAACTTCATTTAGCAAACGTTAAATGTCCTCTGGAGCCTAAAAACCAACAACCAGCAGAAGATGATCCTGGTTGGGCAAATTAACCAGCCTTTAATCAGATTTAACTTTCCTGGTGTTCATCTGTTATGTTGTTACAGAGGTGTTTATACAGTTAAATTATCTAAACACTAGATGATAATACTGCTTCATCAGCTCTCTGGGCATTAAACCAACTTAAAATCATCCTTTAACTGATTCCAGGCTCCGCTGCTCTCCTCCTGCCTTCACCTCTAAACTACCTGCTGCTGCTGGATCAGGATTCAGCTGGTTCCTCGTATCCACAGGATGCATGTCTTTTTTCCTCTGGCTTAATGGAGCATCCCGAGTTCTGACCCACCCCCACCTATTGCTGCTAACTGCCAATCAGCTGGCTTAAAAGGCTTCTAGACGTTTCCTTCCCACTTGGAAGAAGAAATTAGTCTGAACTGAAATATTTAGCTTTAAACAGATGTTAAAGTTTAAAAAAGGAGCTCTAATGTGTTCGAACTACAGCTGGTTAGTTTATGATGAACATGTCAGACTGAAAAAAAAAAAATCTAAATCAAAAGTAATTTTTTCAAAAAAGAAGTGCATTTGTTCCTGGATTGATGTAAAAGAAACACTTTGCCAATGGAACAAGACAATTTATATTTAAAATAAGAAAACGCATTTGCTTGAAAGTCTGATTTCAAGTGCATTTTATCTAATTATCTTAACAGTAAAAATACTTATTCCATTGGTAAACTCTCTCATTTACTTACTGAAATGAAGGGTAAATACACTTAATTTAAGACATTTTAACTTATTTTTAGATCCATTTTCCAGTGCTTAACCAATAAACGAGGTTCTTCCTGTAGCCAATAAGCACTTTATCCTGAAACTATTGCAATATTTATTTAATATTCAGTAGGTACATTTTTTTTAAAGGAGAAAATAAAATTAGTGGCTTATATTCTAGGTTTTAGTTTGTGTGACTCTTATGTGCTGTTCTCAGCCTACAACCAGATGTCTTTAAATCAGCCCAGAAAGTGACGAATGAAAACATTTCACCAACCCTAAAGGAACCAAAGCCATGAGTGATCCCCCCTGATCTTTGCTCTTTTCTCCAGACGCAGACAGAGGTCAGACATTACAGCAAAATCTCCCACAAAGCCACAGTTTAACAGGGATTCTAGAACCAGCTGGTGACGTGTGAACGTTTGATTTCAGATCAGAAAGGCATTTTAACTGAATCACTACAACTTTTCATTCAAACAGACACAAAGGAAATGAACATTTGTTTCAGACGGAGTCAAAGCGTCTCCCTGCATCGTAGCAGCAGTGAGGTGGCCTTCAAAACAAAATTTCAAGTATTATCTTCAGAAGTCCGATCAGAATGGTCCAAAAGATGGACTCCTCCTCCTGAAAGTCGTCTCCTGCCTGGGCAGATTTCTTTTCGGCGTGTCCACCCTCTGATGAGTAGGAGCCGCTCTCAAACGGGTCCTGGGGAACCGCCTGGTCATAAAACACTCGGATCTCAAACTCGCTCTCCTTGTACGACGGGTGGCCGTAAATTCCGATTCCCACGGGCCGTTTGAAGTCTCCGGGCACCACCACCACGTCGTGGCCGCACGTGACCGACTGCAGCTTGTAGGTGTCGAAGTTGGGATGGAGCGTTTTATCGGAGACGTACAGATCGGCGTCGCCTTTGAGGCTCTGCATGTGCAGGATGATTTTCCCGTCGTGGTTGAGGCGCAGGTAGCTGTAGTTTCCGGCCCCGATGTGACCCTGGACCACATGGAGCAGCACCCATTCGTCCGGGATGCCGTCATCCTCTCCGAAGCTCAGGAAGCCTCTGGCCTGTGACAGCAAGAGGCTGAGGAGCAGCGCGGCGCGGCCCAGCGTCATGGTGAGGGCATCGGTCAGTCTGTCAGACAGCCTGAAAAACAGGAATCAGCTGATCATCCTCAGGAAATAAAGCCTAATTAAACACAGCGGTGTGAAGGTTCATCTCCTCTGATCACAGCTAACAGTTAGCGACCAATCCAGCAGAATTCATTCAGAACAGCTGCTCAACATCTGGAGGCATCCTTAGCAGCACTTTACACAATGAAACCTTTACTGGTTTATGTTTTTAAATGTAAATTAATAGCCAATTGAACAGTTTCCTAAATAAATTACACACAGTGCTCTATAAAAATGTTTAACAGATTAAAAGTCACAGTTTAGTATCATGTATTTACTTCCCCCCCCCCCAAAGGTCCTTAAAGAGGAAAAGTTTTAGGAGTGAATTCAGTTTGTCTTTCAATGAATACAGAAAAATAGGTATTTAATCCTAATCGTAAATAAGTATTCTCTCCTTTAAACTACAGTCCTATCAGTGAAAGAAAAGTGAAATGGTGCTCAAAGATGACCCTGCACATTTAGAGGATGTTTGGCCCAACCTGCTGCTGTGAAGCAGGATTCTCCACCATGAACATGATCAAAAATAAATCTGGATCCAGGCTCAAAATGAGCACCAGGGCAGCCTAAAGCCCACTGCTCTCATTAAGACAGAAAAAAAGATTCAGGTGTTTTATAAAATATGTGAATCAGGAAATTGTCTATATACCAAACTGAACGACTGTTGTTCTCTACTTAAAAAACCCTACAGATTTGAACATTTTTAAATTTGTTTTTATTTAAAAAGTCAATGTATAACATGGATGTATAAACACCTAATTTTATTTCTGTGTTAAATTCTGTTTAAAGTAACAGATTATAATAAAAAATGTCTCTGGACCTTTACTGTTGATGTTTAATTGCTATAGAGGTTTCTCTGCTTTAGCACAGCTGATTTTCACTGGTCTCTGGTTAAGACGCTTTTGCTGAACTGCAATCATCAGAATCAGCTGTGCTAAACCGGAGAAACCACTAATACCTGCAGGGTGGCCCTTGAGGGCCCACTATGGGCATCTGGGTCAGACTAAAAGGTTAAAGTCCTCTCTTTTCATCGTTACCCAGCAGTGAAGGCAGGGTTATAAATAACCTGCCGTTTCCCGTCCGTCTGCTCCGACCTTTGATCCATTAATAAACGATACTTCACACGTTGAAATATAAAGAAAAAAACTCACTTTAAATTGTAGTCCAGCACAGAGCTGACATTCACCCTGCTGGTTTGGTTAGCTTAATAAAATAGCCTTTAAAATCAAACAAAAGCAGATATCTTGTTTCCTTGCTTTGTTTGAACTTTAAGCTAATTTGTCGTTAGCTATTAGCAGCGGAGCAGTGCAGCTTTAAAACTGCATACCTAAAAGTACTTATACTCAATAATACTGCAGTTTTTCCTTGTCTTATGTGAGAAGAATCGCTTTACTATTAGCAAACAGTTAGCATTGTGCTAACAGCAGTTAGTGTGCTAACGAAGCCGCTCTCACCGTTGCTCCCATTTTGTTTAAAACAGGTTTTAAAAGACGCTTCAAGGATCAGATTTTACATTTCAGATGAATTATCAAACCATTTAACAGGTTAATACTCACACAGCTGTCGTATCCTGGCCAACATCTTCCAGTTAGCATAGCTAACATAACAGCAAGTTCACTTCTTCACTTCCTTCCACCCGAACAGCGGCCTTCTACCGCCACCTACCGGCCGCCGCTGGAAGCACACTCTCAGACGGTTTTCTAATGCTACTGACTGGGTGTTGGCGTCATCTGAAGGTCAAAAGCACATTTCATAACTTATAAAAATTTAAACCCAATCTTCACTTATTAAAAACCTTTTTTAAAATATTTTTTCCACACCGAATTACTGAGTGGCTCTCTAATCTTTATCGCTTTTTTATTCTAGACAGGGCCAATGGGGTCCAGTGCCCCTGTAGATCATGTCCTGGCCCCTGTTATGGCCAATGTACTGAAGACATAATACTTAAAAAAAATTTTTAATGATATGCGCTGGAAAAGACATGGTTTCTGATAGGTCCTTTGGATCCGTTTCACTTTTTTCTTTACAAAGTCTGTTTTACTAATTATTTACAACCAATAAACTTCAGTGGTGTTGAGATATGATCCCAGTTTTCATCTGCTAAATGTTTTTTTCCAAAACAAATTGAAAAAAAAAGAAAAAAAAAACTTTAAATGTATTAGTTTTTCTTGAGTTCTAATTCAGATTTTATGGAAAACTGTGATTTTAACTTAAATTAAGTGAAAAACGTAAAATTCCAAAATTATGAATGTATATTGACCTAATAAGAAATAGATTTTTTATTAAACCTAATTGAATAGAAATATGACTTTAGGCAGCTATCTTAATATATGTGAATCCCTTGCCCTGTTTTTTACTTCATATTTTTCTGTGCCCCCATGAAAACACACTGGCCCCCTCCTACATTTGTTCTAGAACCGCCACTGAAGCAACTTAGATTGTGTCAGTGATCCCTCTGAACTTATATAAAGAAAATATGAAACATATAGATATTTTTTTAATGGAATTACACCCCACCTACATTCTATTGATTTGACCTTAAATTATTGAGATAAAGTGTTTAATGCTTTGGTTTTGAAATTAATTACAGTTAGGACAAACACGTAGGATGACCTTATGTAAACATATCACCAGAATGATTGACAAATAGGACGACCACTTATTTAGATGATCCACCCCAAAATAGAAAATCCTCCACTATACTTTAAATTAATTTAAAAAAAGGGAAACTCATTCCTTCTTTTGATATCCACCCTTACTGAAAGCATAATGTTAAGCCACACCTATAAGCCGACCTTGAGGAAATGATGTACAGCATTCCATCCAGAAGTTAGGGGAGATCAGAGGAGGTGACTGCAGCTGGTTTCACAGCTTCCAAAAAGGTGGTTCAAAGTAGACGTTCTAAATGAAATGTTTGCATTTGGTAGGAAATCAAGGTTTCAGGTTCTGGAGGAACAGAACACAATCCTAACAAAGAGGTTCTAGAGTCAGATTTCTACCAGGAAATCAAAACTAGAAGTTTCCGTGATCAGCAGGAGGTGCTCCATCATTTCCTGCATCAGAACATCTAGTAAACCAGAACCAGCTCACACCCAGATCCTCATCAGGGGAAACCTCACACTGCACTGAAAGTGTTTTTGTTTTCTGTTCCTTTCCAGATTCTGGGACCTTGATTTCCAATTAAAGCAATATTTACTTACAACTCTGGACCAAAGAGCTGCTGTGAGGTCTTTTCCTCATTTGAAGCATCAAATATTGTCTCTGGTTCAGAAAAGTTGACGGGGAAACCGTTGCACCTGTAACCCGTGTTGGATCGGTCTCCAGTGTCTGCCTTCTCCTGTTGGCGCTCCCCTTAAAGCTGCTGATTCTGCACCTCTTTCTAATGCATGTTTTTCTTCCACTCTACTTTCTGCAAACATGTTTAGATGCAGCTCTCTGAACTACTAATAAACTTCTTGCAGAGAGTCTTCTGGACACTCAGCAGTTCTCTCTACGAGTGTTTAGCCCTCTGACCCCAAAATAGAACATTTAATGGCTCATAAATCCTTTGCAGAGGTTTGAAGTCGATTTAGATGAGAAATCATGATTTTTTCCAACACCTAACTTTTCCATAACCCTCTTATTTTGAGACCCATTTAGAATTCTATTATCTGTAAACTAAAATGATTATTTTATCTTGAAATGAGTAATTAATAAACAAATATTTTAATATTTACTTTCTAATAGCTCTAACCAGTAGGGGATGGCTACCTCTGTTTTTTTTTTTTTTTTTTTTTTTTTTTGAAGTATGCAAAACCTAATTATTATATTCTATTAACCTAAAGCACTATGCATGGTCTGGTTGTTCCATGTCAGGTATGGTGGTCATTAGCCTTGACCAAGGCACCTCACAGTGAAATGCAGTCAGTCCCTGGACTGGCATGGCTACCACTGCCCCCACACAGTTAGCATGGCTACCACTGC